CATCATGATTCACAGTTAGCCGCAATCTGTTGAGCCAAAACTCTTGGTGAGGAATTCTCCAGACCCATATCCTTCCACTGTCCGAAAATTGAGTGAATCTTAATTCGTCTTAGAACAATACGGTCTTCCAAAAGTCCAGAGGCTTGGTCATCATATTACTTGCCCACTTCTTTCGCTTGACTATGTTGGCAGGTCTTAATAAGGGCTTCCATCTAGCTGCTCTGCAACAATAACCCAATCTGTGGAGAATCTGTTGAACAGATTTCGGGCTCATCCCACCAACTTTGGCCACTTCTACAGTCGTTAATCTGGGATCCATTTCAACGCTCTTCTTGACAGCCCTTTTTGTCCTCTCTGATGGACCAGGACGACCCGGACTCTGCTCAGTATTTTCCTTGCTGTGTTTCCTGAACTGCATGATGATTCTGTTGACTGTCGAAAGCCGTCGACTTATTCTACCATCTGCATGACCAACTATCCTTCCTCTAACAAAATCTGACAATTCGAGAAAACCTTGAGTTCTAGGCATGTTGTAGCACATGATAATAAGTGTGTGGACCATTTTCATTTATATAGTGCTCTGTGAACACAAATTAGTTAGCATAAATCTGTTAAATGATGAAAAATTAGGTGTCTATTTACTTGTGACCACTCAGTGTACAATCAACAATGGCCATTTTGGAGGTCAACACAGGACTTATAATAATCTGTAAAAAAGCATTGAATGGGAGCAACATCTGTTTAGATAACTGTATTTGAAACTTGTCTATGATGTAGCAGTAGTCTTGGTTATGGTTTAACATATGACTTGAACTCCAATATCTTGATTGAATTGTCTACTGAGTTTTATAATACAGAGTAAATTTACCAAGACAGATTGCCAAGATACTGGTCTTTTGCATTTTGTTAATGAATAGGACTTCAAACTTCTTAGGTATTTTCCGACGCTTTTGTTTTTCTGCTACTTTGTCCACAACTTAAACATAGCATTTTATGTATCCCTACTTTGAATTCTCCAAAAGCTCTATTGGCATCATCTGATCATGGTGAGCTAGTTTCTGAATGTTAAATTCCTTAAGGAGCACAATACAGAACAAATTTAATCATCATGCACATTTTATATGATTGCATCAAATATCAACCGACTCATGTCAAAGTTAAATTTTCTCACAATATGACACATGTAAGAATAGGCAATTCTCTCGCACAAGGGCAGTTCTCTTTGCAAAAACCCCTTTTAAAATATAATTGCTTTGCTGCCCCTACCACACATACACACATAAGGCGATTCTCTTTGGCGATTTTCCTAAAGAATAATAGAACTCACATATGGAAAGAATTCATTTGGTTGACCTATACACATAGCTAGTTTGCTTGGTTATCTTTCTACATGAAAATATGTTATAATTAGTAATCACCACACATAACAGCTTGCTTGGCAATTCACCCACATATGAACTATTTGTTAAGTTATCCTCCACATAAGGATACAGCTTATAGTTGGTTTACGGACATGATTCAATTGTTAATCCTGCCAAATAAAGATAGAGCTTGCTCACTTAATACACAAAAACAATCTGCTTTGCAAGTTATTTAGTGATTTCTCCACAAAATAACAGAGTTCAATAGTAATCCTCCAATACAGAAGAAAGTTTTTTTTTGGAAACAGTATAATTTATTTTGTAACTTTTCCACATGAAGAAATATTTGTTTGGAAAACAAAATATAAAGAAAAATTTTGTCTGGAAATCCTATCATATAATAGTATATTATAATCAGATACAGATCGACTGGCAATCCCCCAACACAAGAAAAGTTTGATTAGCAATCCCTCCAATCAAGGATAGAAGCAGTTTGGGAGCTCCACCACATAAGAAAGATTTCTGTTTGTAAATTGCTACATCAGGAAAATGATTGTTTTATAACTCTTACACATAATGACTGAGATTGCTTGGCAATCCCAAAACAAAGTTTGATTGTTATCCATCCACATAAGGGGAGTGTTTTCTTTGACATTCCCATATGACAGAACAGGGTTCACTTTACGAGTCTTGTATACAAGTATAGCCTTTGCTTAGCAATATCCCAGCTTACAAGCAAAGTTCCTCTTGTGATCTCTCTGCTCGAGTAAAAGTTTCACATAGTACCCCCAAACATTTAGAATGTGTCATTGAAACTTCTTTATTTTAATTTTTGATAAAAACTCATTTTATGAGCCTTGTCTTAACAAAGGAAATGTGATATCAGTAATTTTTTTTGGTGTACTATAAAAATTTATAATGAACGTATACTTTATGTTGAATAGCATATCTAATGAAACTCACACCATTTTCCCCAAAGCTAAATAAGGCTTGATGTTAATGAGTATTTATTTGGCTAACTATAAAACAATATTTTTTTTGTATTATTGAAATATATATATTCTGTTAATGTTAGCAACTGGTTTTTAACATGCTTTTAGTCCGAATAGTTGGTTTGTCTTATATATGTATATATATCTTGTGATTCACAGCTGTGACTTAATTACTTTTGTTAAAGCAAATCTACTTATGCAAAAAGGTGTTAGGTCATGGGAAGGAAGAATATCCAATACCATTTCTCCAAGGATCTTTCCAATAACTGGTGCCATTTTGAATCCTGTTCCTAAACAACAATAAACAGAGATTCAGGCAACATAAAACATTTTATTAGAAGTAAGTTGTTTTCAATGTGCTTTTTACTGGGACAAATATATTGCAAACAATATATTTAATTTTATAATCTTAAAAGAGAAATACATTTTAACTTGTAATAAAACAGACTAATTTTTCTTGTGCTGATATATATTCTTAAGAGAAAAATTAAATTAAATCTAATAAGCTTGCCAAGTTAAAATGTACAGAACTTTTTAATATATCTTGACAGAATGCAGCATTTTAATGAACTAGTAATGATTCCAGTGGCTTTGAAAGAATATAATTTGAATCACTATAATTTACCTGTTTTAGCCACTCTGACCAAGATATATAGTACTCTGTCAATCAGTCAGCAGACTCTAAAAATGTCACATAAGGGATGCTTAACATTGCAATTTGTACTGTCATGACATAAGTAAAATGTGCACATGCCATGAATCATGATAAAAATTATGTACTCTGTAGGCTGCAGCACAGAAAAACATATGAACTTCTAAAGCAAAAAAAATAAAAATATTTGTTACTCTTAATTTTGGTTTTGTTTACTCTTTCAGAGACCCTGCACAAGTACATCTAATTATTGTGTATCTTCGTTTTTTTCAACATCAAGTGCCCAGTGTAAATAAGATGATTTTGATACTACTTTTACTACTATATACATTTGAGGAGTTTGGCAGTTCTTTGGCACAGGATTTTCTCCATCCAATAGTCTCCTCAAAATTCATCTAGCAATAATACCCAATTCCATTTGATTTAACTAGCATTTGTCCTTTTCACTTTTTAAAAGGGAAATTTGACAGTCAAAATCCTTGATTTCTAATACACATGCTATGTTATACATTAAATGTTATATATTATATTATACATTAAACTGTATGTTATACATGTATATAACATTATTATAAATTCATGTATGTTCTATGACATATATTAAATATTAAAACGTTTACCAATTGTTTAGTAGGTTTATTTATTAAAGTAAATATCATCCAGAAGAGTAAAATATTAAAATTGTGAAAGATAATGTATCTGCATTACTAGGCTTCATTTACTACTTTAGGCCTAGTTACACTTACAGTAATAATAAGCCTAGAAACCTAAAAGTATAAAATCTGAATCTCAATAAAAATATTATGAACCATTTACTCCAGATTTTAATGAAAAATAACCCATAACTTACTTGTTCATATCAAACTAGATGTATTGTTGTAAATTAAGTACTCTAGGCTTTAATAATGCAACATTAAAAAGATAAATAAATAAGTAAAATATTTTTATTAATATAATATAATTTGATTATTTCTTATAACTTATAAAATTTTTATTTGTTACTTATAAAAATATACATGACATAATAACAGCTAAATGCTAATCCTATTTTTCACAACAATTTTACTTCTCAATTTCAGACCTAAACAACATTTAAGTCGATAACTGCTGATGCCATTTTTAAATTTCTTTCTGCATATGGTACTGCATTACTTCAAAATTTAATTAAACTACTTTAGTATCAATGTATTTTAATGAAATTATTACTATCAAATTGATAGAATGCTTAAAAAGCCTAAATATAGACGGCAAAGATCTGCAGTTGATATGAAATCTGCATTGGAACCAAAAAGCATTCATAAGGACCTAAGAGGGATTATCACCAGAAATATAAGTTAAAAGAGGAGTATGCCAGGGATGTGTCCTTTCCCCATGTCTACTTAATTTGTACACAGAAAACATCTTTCGTAGAATTAAGATTGGTGGCATGGTGATAAACAATTTAAAATATGCTGATGACACTGTACTGATGGCTGAAACAGAACAAGACTTACAAGATATTTTGAATGATGTAAATAACATGGGAAAGAGGTATGGAATGAAAATCACTGCTAAGAATACAAAGAGTATGCTGATAAGTAGACATTATTATAGGCCATGAATTCAGATAAAATTAGAAGAAAAAGAAATACAAGAAGAGAAATTCACATACTTGGGCCAGACCATAACATGTGATGGAAAATGTGAAGCTGAAATAGTGAAGAGGATTGAGGTGGCAAGAGGTGTCTTTAATAGTATGAAAATAAGTCTGACATCAAAGAGAATATGTGTAAAACAAAGAAGAGAATCATAAAGTGCTATATGGTCAACTCTGTCATATGACTGTGAAACATGGATATTGACACAAGCATTGATTAACAAACTGGAAGCATTTGAGATGTGGATGTAGAGAAAGATGATGAAAATATCCTGGATAGTCAAAATAACAAATGAAGAAGTTCTCAGTATGGTGAATGTGAAAAGATATGTTGTAGCATATTTTGGCCATATGATGAGATGAAACAACATCCAGGGAGTCTTACTAGAGGGTCAAATAGAAAGGAAAAGATACAGGGGAAGACCAAGATAAGAGTGGATAAAAAAATATCATCAATTGAGATAGCAAAATATGAAGACCTGGTTGGATAAACACAGAATGGACGAATTGGAGGATTGTGACAGACAACCTTCCTGAGGAAGACGGCACATGGTGATGATGATTATTATCAAGTATAATATAATTCAAAGTTTTATATTATCTAAGTTTTTATTCCTTTATTTCAAAAGAAACATCTAAAACAACAAGTAAAACTTCAGTTTTTGCTGTCATGTGATCAGCTCGCAGCTACTATTCCTCAACTTAAAGAGCTATTAAAGAAGAATGGCCTTCATATGGTCTTACATTATTGTCTCCATTACTTTCGAAGCACTTTTCCCCCAATTGCTAATAAGCAATAGAAAGGGTTACTGTAACAATAACATACAAGTATATTTTTAAACAAGATGAAATGAAGCCAAGTTCACTGTTCTCTCGGGGTGCCTGTAGTGCTTGGCAATTTTTTCTCACCTTGTATATACTAGTTTGATAGACAGATAGATTGCATTGAGGTTTTATTTTTATATTTTAATTAATTATGTAATATGTGTGTTTTAAAATGTATACTTGTGAAGGTTTAATGAATTTTATAAGTTTAACTTGTTGTCTGAACTGTGAAAGCTTATAAACACAGCGTGTGTATAAGCACCATCTTGTTTTTGCAACATGTCTCTGCATGGAGTCTGCCAAAGGAACTTCATAAAGCCCTACAGGCATCAGATGATGTATCCTCATAAAAAGTAAAAGACGAAGAATTTGAAAGGAAAATTAAAAATAGACTAAGTGAAAAGATATAGACCTGAAATTACGCACAGTAGACCAAGAAGAATATACTAGAGAATTTCTACAAAGAGTTGAAAGGTATGTACATTTGTTACTTTTAAACATTTCATTGCATGGTATGTTGATGATAACAGATAGAGTTAGTGATATAGTAGAAAAAATGGGAAATAAAATATAAACATTTACCTTAAAAAACTTTAGATATTAATTTGAGGTTCTATAGATTATGCAAATAAAATGTGAAAACTGTAAGCTAAAAAACAGTATTTTTATATTTCATATAAAAATCACCTTGCAGGTGTGCTATTCAGATCCAACTACAAATAACTAAATTAAAAAAAAATTTCTTATTAGAAATAGTAGAAAAAAATCAAAATTAAGCATTTTATTTTTCTGAGACTGCATGCTTTAAGAAAAATTCTTGTCAAATTTCAAACAATTTCATCCCCTAATTTAATTTTTGGAACAAAATATAATGATGGCAACATTAGTTCCTTACAATTTTGGGATACAGTTACTATAGGATTAACGGAATATAAACCTAAAATATCTGATTGTATAATATCCACAGTATGAATTTTAAAAATACTTATAATATAAAACTAATGATCCTGTGTTTAATAATTGCAAGTCCTTTAAAATATTGAGTTATAATCTCCAATAATGGTATACCAGGGTTAACACAGTAACCTTCATCAAGCCTATTTGAAAACTGGAACTCTGAATTATAATAATAAGGCTGATTCACAAAAACTGTCTTCTATGTTGCCTAAGCAGCACTTAAAAGATTCTGAACTTTAACTGTGGTATTGGAGGACCTCCCCCCCCCCCCCCATTGGAGATCCCTGCCCCACCCACCATTTGAGATATCAGGATTTAGTATTTTAAGACTTGAATTCTCCCTATATTGGGATTCCTACTGACATGAAGGTGTTTTTTTTGGGGAGGGGGCAGTGTAATCATGCTATATGGGTGAGTTTAATAGTAGTTTGGAACAACAACTGTGAAAAGAAAACCTGAGGAAATATCAGCTTTTTGATAAACTAAAAAGAATAAACAAATATTCCTAAAGGCTAAAAGCCTATTACTTTTGTATGTAAAAATGTCACTGCCTCATAGACCATTAAAATTATGGAAACCGGCCTGGACGTTTTTTTTTTTTTTATCATTGGATTTGCTG